TCCCTGGGGTTTATGCCCTCTCTGGGCTTTGAACTTCCTGGGGCACAGGAAGAGTATCCTGATTGGCTGCTGTCAGAGATCATAGCCAGCTTTGTAAGTTGTCTGTGTGCTACGTTTGGTTGAAACCTGGTGGGTGGTGCAATGAAAGGGCAATGAAATGGCTCTGCCTGAAGTGGGTTGAACTTTGTTATGTAGAATAGACTGACTCAGGCCTTAATGGCCCATTGACAAAGGTTGGGGGGTGGGGGCTATTAAAAGTGAGTCTGTTTTCTGCCTAAAAACATGTTTCTCCATTTCTCATTCAGGTTAGTATAATATTCTACCTTTTTAATATTTCCTAGGATATTTCATTTTTCTAAGTAGAAGGGTGGGTGCTAATTTCCTTCACGTGGAAGCAGAGGAAGAGGGAGGAATATATGTGGGGGAAGCCTGTTCCACAAGAGCTTCCCTGAGTCTTGTGCACCTTGAGAAGACTCGTGCACCAAATCCCTGATGATCACCTTCCTTCAAAAGCAGGCCTTTTCTCTTTCCAATCTCGCTGGCGAGGTAGATTTGCTCAGAGCAAGCAGTTTTGGAGATACCAGGCCTGAGCATACATAAAGGCTTCAAAAGTAACCACCAGCATTTTAAATTGCACCCAAGAGATAGCCAGTACCAAATGCAGCTTTTGTAGCACAGGTGCCATGTAGATCAGGGGTCCCCAAACCCCTAGGCCGCCTCTCACTACCACGGCCTGTTCGAAACGAGCGATGGGCATGTGCGTGCGCGAAGTTCCACTCCCACAAGCGGCAGGAAAGCACATACGTGAAGCTCCAGTTGCGTGAGTGGCAAACCCTTGCATTCATATGCAAGGCTCCACCCGCACAAGCAGAGGGCTCTTGTGCCGAAAGCTCCATTTATGCCAATGGAACTTTTGCTCAGGAGGACTCTCCGCTTGCGCGAGTGGAGCTTCACGCAGGAGCACAAACATCCCCTGCTTAAGCACCGTCCGCTTGTGCAGGCGGAGCTTGGTGCATGAGTGCAAGTGCTTTCCAAATGCACAATTGGAGCTTCGCATGCGAACACAAGTGCCCACCCCTTACGCATGAAGCCCCATTCGTGTGAGTGGAGGATGTGTGCGCCTTCTACTAGCACCAATAAAGCTGCGTGTGGGCACTTGTGCACCTGCCCCCCCCCCACATGCCATTCCCTCCCCCTTGTGCCGGGCCGGGCTGTCAATCTGGAAAAATTGGGGACCGCTAATGTAAATAAACTCCAGCACACTTATAATTCCTAGACCTGCTACATTTTGAACAAGTTGGACAAAATGCAACCAGACCCTCCTTTTTTTAAAAAATAGCAATAAACATATACTGCTTCATTGGGCTTTTACAGGCCTCTCTAAGCAGTTTACAGAATCAGCCTATTGCCCTCAACAATCTGGGTCCTCATTTTACCCACCTTGGAAGGATGGAAGGTTGAATCAACCTTGAGCCTGGTGGGATCTGTACTGCCAAATTGCAGTCAGCCAGCAGTCAGCAGAAGTAGCCTGCAGTACTGCCCTCTAACCACTGTGCCACCACGGCACATAATAATATCTGGAGGCAGCATGGTCCCTGTTCTGCCCAGGGCAATGAGGTTCTGCTCGGGCAGCCAGTTAACTCCACACTTAGGAATATCTTTCAGATCACGTTTA